AAAAAATATCATGATCCTGTCATCCTGGAAATGTTTGAGGTTTATGGTTACTGCAAGATTTATCCTGAGAACTTTGGGTGCTCTTAAAAATTCACCAGGAAGAATCAAGCCCCTTGATTTAGAAGGGGACAAATTTTGTTTCTTTTCTTTTTTGCTAGTCATCTTTTCCCTCTACTTTGCTTTTCCTTTACTCTTAATGGAGTAGCTCTCTCCCCCGTCTCTCCCAGTCTTTCCTGGTTTACAATTATCCTAGGCAAGCTGATTTCTGAGGTAGCAAAGGGCTCTTTTTTGCTTAGCTGAAGTATAAGGAGAAATTATTATGTTACTGTTTGTAGAGGAAATGAGCTGCCCACAGACACTCTTGGTTTATGTAACTATAAGCTTTAAAACTTGCTAACAGGAGGATAACAACAGAGAGTTAGTAGGACTTGCAAATGTAAACACCTAATTTCAAAGCTCTTTTTTGTGTAGCAGCAAAGAAAGCATAATTAATAGCAATATACACTTAACAACAGGACACCTGGACTGATCGTTTTCCCCATTCTCTGCACATGTGCAACATTTATTGACACCGGAGAAACTCACACATTGAGAAAGAATGACTCAGTTGCAGAAAATTTTTGTCAAGTTAAAAACTATCATTTGAAATCTGCCTTCCTTTTCAGTGAAGCTTACTTTTTTACAAGCTGCAATTTCTCATCTGTTCTCTTTATTTTCAAAGATTTTCAAAAGAAAATCTTTGACTGATAGTAAAAGTAAATTAAAATTTATATTTTAATATCTATCATTCTTACAAAATATCTCAGTTTCTGAAAATCTTTAAATTTAAAATCTTCAATTTGCACATATTATTACACTGTTCATGCATCATTAAAAATCTACAAACAACAAATACTGGTCTGGAGGGGGTGTGGAGGAAAGGGAACCCTCCTACACTGTTGGTGGAAATGTAAATTGGTGGAAAACAGTATGGAGGTTCCTCAAAAAAATAAAGTTGCCATATGATCCAGCAATTCCACTCCTGGGCATATATCCATACAAAACTATAATTCAAAAAGATACATGCACTCCTATGTTCATAGCAGCACTATTCACAATAGCCAAGACATGGAAACAACATAAATGTCCACCAACAGATGAATGGATAAAGAAGACGTAGTACATATATACAATGGAATACTACTCAGCCATAAAAAAGAATGAAATAATGCCATTTGCAGCAACATGGAGGGACCTAGAGATTATCATACTAAGTGAAGTAAGTCAGAAAGAGAAAGGCAAATACCATATGATATCACTTATATGTGAAATCTAAAATATTACACAAATAAACTTATCTACAAAACAGAAACAGACTCACAGGCATAGAGAACACACTTGTGGTTGCCAGGGCGAGGGGGTCGGGGGGAGAGATGGACTGGGAGTTTGGGATTAGCAGGCACAAACTATTACACTTGACCTTAGCCAAAAGGCCGAGAAGCGATAGGCGCAAACTATTATATATAGAATGGATAAACAGCAAGGTCCTACTGTACAGCACAGGGAACTATATTCAATATGCTGTGATAAACCACAGCGGAAAAGAATATGAAAAAAATGTGTGTGTATATATATATGTATAACTGAATCACTTTGCTGTACAGCAGAAATTAACACAACATTGTAAATCAACTATACTTCAATAAAATAATTTTTTTAAAAATGGACATAGACTGCTCATGAAAGACAAGTCCAATTCTAAATTTTCAAATTATTACCATCACAAAATGAAACCCTGATATTTTGGTGTCCAACCAAAAACAGTCAAAAATTCCCACTATTTTAAATAATAATAATTATAATATTTATAATTATAGTAATAATATTTTAAAGCTAAATTTTTTCTAGATTGCTTCACAAATGAGTCATTCAATAATGTACCAGAAATGTTATATATCTGTATATTTATATTTAAAATATAATTTAAAAGTTTAAATATGTATATTTAAAATTACATCACAATATTTCTTCTTGGGGCTCTAATAATTTCCTCTGAGAAAGTATCTCCATTGAAAGTTCAATTCTTATTCTTGCATACACACTCTGCTCACTCACCCACTTCCTTACTCATCTTCAAGATGGAGGGCAGAAGCCACAAAAGAACCCCATTTCTACTGGCTCTGAGTGGGGAGCTCTAGAGGGAGGCCATGCTCTAGCACATACCCTCCTGAGTAGAGAGCCCTGTGAAAGCCTGAATGCCATGCCCTGAACATCAAGCCAAGAGCACAATGCCTTAAACAAGCAGATCAAGCTGCCACACACTTCAGCCACTTGCAAAAAAAAAAAGACTAGTGTAGGCTCTTGGGCACGAGTTTTCCTGTCCTGCTGTGTGATGGCTTAGCAAAGCTACCCTGCCAGCAGTTACTTAAGCTGCCAGCAGTTGAAAAAGAAATGGGATGGAGAGAGTGTTTTCTTCTGTCCTGGCCTTACTGGGATACTGTTAATACCTTTCTGGAAGCAAACTAGAGGATTAAATACCTTCACTAAATTTTTTGATCCAGAATTTAAAGCAAAATATCTTCAACAAAGATATTCAGAGACACCACAAGGAAAGCTATTTGGATGTTAGGAAGTGTTATGGGCTGAATCACGTCCCCCCGCAAAATTCACATGCTGAAGTCCTAACCCCAGGCTGTAGATTGTGACTGTATTTGCACATAGGGTCTTTAAAGAGGTAATTAAGTTAAAATGAGGTCTTTAAGTGGGATTTAATCCAATATGACTGGTGTTCTTATAAGAAGAGGAGATTAGAATACAGACACACCCAGAGGGAAACCCATGTGAAGACACAGGAGAAGGTACCTGGCCATCTACAAGCCAAGGAGAGAGGCCTAAGAAGAAATCAACCCTGCAGACACCTGGATCTCAGACTTCTAGCCTCTGGAACTAGGAGAAAATAAATTTCTGTTATTTAAGCCACCCAGTCTGTGAAACTTTGTTAGGACAGCCCTAGCAAACTCATACAGGAACTAACAGCTTACAAAAGGCAGTAAAGTCAGATCAGGACCTTAGATCTGAGGTCTAGAACAGCTCCCTTCTTCGGCACCTCACTCCACACGAATCCAGGTACAGCTACTTACTTTTTTGGTCTGGACAGGCCATCCCAGGATTGGTTCCAGCAATAAACGTATTCTAGCATATTCCATGTTCCAGCAATGAACAATGAAGCAAGGACCAAGCTGGAGAAAACATTCTTCTACTCAATATAAAGGATCTTTTACTTTCTTTTGGAGGACCAGAACCTGGTACCTAAACAGCTTGAGTTCTTAATCCACATCTCTGAATTCCAGACCCACTGCCTGCATTGCCACTGGTGGCCTTTCATAGTAGCATCCAGGCCTCAGCACCCAGACCTGCTGCACCCTCAGAATGCACTGCTGCATAATCCATGGCTACTTCCATCTAAGTGCTGGCTCCGGGTTTGGCATCACAATCATATTCTTTCCCTTCTAGCTCCTCAGACCTGGAAAGGGCAGCGTTGGAGACAATTTCTTTCCCTCAGCCATTCAGAAATTTGTCCCACACCAAATTTAAATTGTAAATTAAAACTGGAATGCCTTTGAGGACAGATGCTTCTTTAGAGGTCCTTTGACCTGAATAGTTCAGCATTTGCATTGTTTTATTTCACTGTCTATTCAGAATCCTAATCATAGCCCATAAGAAAGAATGTGACTTTAATATTGGACTTTGCTGGTGTGCTTGAGTGTGTACTAGTTATCTTTCTTTAAATCATAGCCGTATGGTAAATTTTCTGTTTTGTTATGGTTCCCTTTCATTGGTGGGCATGCAGTGGGCATTTCTTGGAAATGGCCAATTTTTATTAAAATGTTTCTAGAAGAAAATTTTTTTTTAATTGTAAATTAAAAAATTGATCATAGGGGTCATTTGAAGTCACTGAGGAATGAAGCAAGCAATCAACAATTGAAATTCAGCTTCTCATTTTCAAATCAACTCCTTATTGCTGTTAATATTAGTCTAAAACTTGTTTACAATATACTCTACCAGTAATAATATAAATTGCTGTTTGTTAAATGATTTTTCTTCGTGGGAAACTTCAAATCTATTATTTTTCCTTATTGGTTGTTGACAACTTTTAGTTGTCAGGGAAAAAAATCATTCCTATAACTAAATTTGGATTTTTATAATATTCTTTTATGCTATTTTCAGAAAAATGATATAACTATAGACACTTCTACTTTTGATTCAATGTTCAAGCCTTGTTAGAAGGAAAAGTTGTAGGAAAGGAATAAATTCCTTTTAAAACTTCACATAACTTTCCTTTTGGTCTGTTTCAAATAGTAATGGACCTAGTTAAAGCAGGAAGTTCAGGGTGATGGCAGGCTTTATGAAGAATGGTATCTTGCATGAACAAAGAAAATTTAAAGAAATTCTTAAATAGCTGAATCCATCTCAAATGGCTCTTGTGATCTGGAGGGAAGGAAAGCTTTGCTAGGAGGAAGTTGAGAAAGTTTTCTTTTTTTTTTTTCAATTCCAAAAGGCTTTGCCATGTATTGGAAGAAGAAAAATATACAGTTTGTCTAGTTTGTCATGTTATTTATAGACAATACTTAAATCTAGATATTTTAATTAATTTTTTAAAGTAAAATTGCTCATCAGTGTCTGTTCATAAGATAATTACGTTAGACTTAAGAATTTGATTTTTAAGATCAAGTTTAAAATGACACCTCAGAAAACAGGATTTTTATTTTTATCTTAAAGCAAGCTCAGTTTAGAGGTGTCTGTTTACAAACTTTCTTCATTTAATTGGTTTTCTTAATATGAAATAGGATTTCCAGAACTAATTAAAAGTTCATTCTAATGAATATTCAAGACCAAAATACGTTATCTTTGCAGTACAGTATACAGATTTTTAAATCATCCATAAAGGTAATCATATTTTTTTATATTCTTAAAGTCATGTATTGTTATTGAGACCAAACGGGTTGTTTGCTTCCTCTCAGGCCATGATTGAAGAAGCCATCACCAGGGCGGAATCTTTCTCAGTTATGTACACACCATTTGCAACAAAAATCAGAGCTGATAAAATAGAAGAAGTAAAAGAGGTTTTCATAAAAACTCATCCTGCATATGTGGAATATATCTACACAGGTAAGATTCAATATCTTCAAAGTATCAGCTAACAACTTATTTCCATAAAAAACAAATACAGGCATGTTTCTGATTTTTTGTTGCTTATTTCAGTTTTAGGGATTTTTTTTTAATCTGATGAGCAGAAATGGAAAGTTATTTTAAGGTTTTAAGTAGAGCTAGCCCTATAGGTCTAGCATAATATTCCTTGTGCCATCATGTTTCTTTTTTTAAGACGAGAGGTAAAACCGAGAAACTCTAAGATAATAAAAAATGAAAGAATAACCTGTAGTAAAATGTCACCTTTCCCCATATATTTCATCAGTAAACTAGGTGATTATAGTATTTTCCTGAATATGGATTTTTTTTTTCTCCAATCCCTGCTATTCCTACTTTCCTTCCTCCATCTATCTCACACCTCAAACGTCCCTCTTTTTTTATGTTCTCGGGCCACTGGTATCCAAGTGAGATCTGGATAGCCAGCCAAGTGTACACAGAGAACACAACACTATTGGTGTCCTTTTTTCCTCTTTTTGTCTTTGGAAGCCACTTGCTTTCATTCATTCATTCCAAATACTTTTTACTATCTACCATGTTCCAAGTGTTATTCTGAATTAAGACAAGAATTTTCTTATACTAAATTGAGCCAATCTCTAATGGAGATGGAGATTTCCAGTTATCTAAGATACTAAGAGTTGTCAAAAGCTTTTGTTGTTTCTGTTTCACTGTCTTTAAATCACTGAGTCAAAACAATATTAAAGAGTATTTAGGGGCTTCCCTGGTGGCCCAGTGGTTGGGAGTCCGCCTGCCGATACAGGGGACATGGGTTCGTGCCGCAGTTCGGGAGTATCCCACATGCCGCGGAGCGGCTGGGCCCGTGAGCCATGGCCGCTGAGCCTGCGCATCCACAGCCTGTGCTCCGCAACGGGAGAGGCCACGCAAAAGATTCCCCGCGAAAGGCAAAAAAAAAAAAAAAAAAAAGGAGTATTTTGTTATTTTCAAAATAAATAAATTAACAATCAGCAATGACTACCATATTAAGCAAAATCTCTAAATACACACATCTAGTATCACATCCTCCTGTTAAGGCCCCTGCATTCCTTTTGTCAGGGTTTTGGGGCCAAGTCACTGATTTGTATGATTAATAATATACTCCACTAGTGATCACGTTTAAGGTACCAGGCACTCTACATTCATTATCTCTTGTCACTCCCATAACTTAAGAAGTGAGTAAGATGATTCTCATTTAGAAATGAGAAAACAGCTACCAGAGAAAACAGTTTTTCCAAAGATACACAGCAAATCAGAAAATCAGTGGCTGCAGGCCTTGGATCTGAACCCATATCCTCGCATTGAACTACACTATTTCCATCTGATAGAAGCCGAGATGTGACAGAAGCATTAAATTTAGGTCCTATGGAATCCTTATTTCTTCCACAATGCTTCAAGCTCTTCAGAAGAAATACATTTTAAAAATATAACCAGGGATGATTAAATAGTGAATCCCTAAGGAACAATGAAAATTTAAAGGCAGAGAAAGGGAAGAAAAGAAATCACATGCGTGCTATAATGAACACTGATGCTGATTTACTTAGTTCCAGCATTTTATAAGGAAGGAGATAAAAATGTTTCAGAACTCACAATTTTTGCTAATTGTTATAAATCACTTATCATTTTGTTATGGATATCTTCAAGGGTTTTGCGGGGGTGGGGGGCAGAGAGGGGAATCAATACCACACAAAAGTTACATCAATCTAGTATCATGGAAAATTAATCCAATTCAGCTATTTCCATATCTACTCTCAGATCCACTGGTAATAAAGAGAGGTTCATTGAGGAGATTACCAGTTTGCCAATTTCTCGACTGGTAGAATAAGTTTAGTTATATTTAACCTACTTCACAGAGAAGTCATGAAGATTAATTAAGATTTAGGAAGCACTGTTGCCACTGAGGGTTTAAAAACAACAATAACATTAATGAGCCAGATTCACATCTCACGTAACTCCATCAATCCTGTTATCAAGATGAATTATGATCTGTTGGCAAGATGATTCATGCTAAAGGATCTTATACTTTGGAAGAGAAGATAATTATAAGTTACTGATGATTGTTTCTATCATTATATAATTACTAATTGCTGGAGTGTGACAGTGCTATATGAGAACAGAGAGAAGAAAGACAGTTTCTGGAGGAGAAGGGGAGGTAGTGAAGGCAATCTCGAATTTTAAATTTCATTAGGAGTGGTGAGGTCCTTCGCTCTATAGAATGGGTACTTTGAACTAACAGGCTATTACACTGATGACATTATTTGCCTCTGTTGCAAATGATGAAAGGGTCACTCCAAAGCCATGCTGGAACGACAGTGAAACCACTACTACGAACTATATGTGCAAGTCTTAGTGGCATCTCTTCTTTTCCCCCCAGGTAATTCCAAGGTGAGGAAGGGGGCAGGTCAAATGTGATCTTTAGCTTCTGGATATTTCTCACAGGAGGTGCAGAGTGGTGATTTGGGCAGGCATCAGTAGCCAAAGGCAGCAGCTAGAAAGTGAGTTACACAAAGAGAGATAGGGCCTAGGAGGGTAGTGCCCTTGTTTTGTTGGCACGTCCCAAATACCAGGATACTCCTTTTATCTGCCTTCTCTTTAAGAAGCTTCTGTGTTGCCAAAAATGTATTCAGTTATTTATTTCAACAGAGTCATGCAGCAGGTGTGACTGGACAATCACACAGCAAATGTGTGCAAACATCAGGCTTTTTTTTTTAACCTACACATATTCATCTTTGGTCTGTCCAGAGCCAAAAATATATTCTATCCCACCCCAAAGGACTCAATCTCACCCAGTCATTTCTAAAATTTAGTCTGTCTTCAGTAACTATCTAATCAAACTCACCAGCTTTTTTCCCCTTTCCACGGGACTTTCTTCTCCTACTAGTCTGGTTTCAACTTTGACAGAGCTCGAGCCTACCCAAGGGTCCAAAGAAGCCCATGGGCATGTGAGGAAAGAGTCCTCTTGGAAGTCTTGTGCAGGCTGGCACAGCTGATTATATGGCTAGTGCAACTTGAGACAGCTCTGTTGGCTTGAGCAGGACCTCATGGGCTCATTTATGTGACACATCAGGTCACCCAAGGGCACTATATGAGTTCCCCATGCTACCTCCTGGTGTAAATGCTTCTTTACATGTACACCAACCACCCCTACCACACAAGCTGGACCAGACTAGAACTACTTTCTAAGACTCCCTCTCCCTGCCAGAATGCGGAGTTCTAGATCTTACTCTAGAAATCCCCTCTACTCCACTGGAGACTGGAAGTCATTTTAGTCCTCTCTCCAACTTGCTATGTTAATTCTTCCATTTCTCTTCTCCTTTTCTCCATGCTTCAGAATCCCAATATCCTCAGGACAAGAAGAGGATCTACAATGGAGATGGGTGGTATATTCAGTTATTCATTTAGTCATCAAACATTTATTGAGCAGGCACTATACTAGGTAGTGCTAGAATATACCTGCTTCTAAGAAAGAATATGACTCTAGTAATTTATACTTCAGGGTGAAAATTGGACTATATTTTTCCTCTCTTCTAGAGAATACTTCACTTAAAACCTAAGCTCTAATTGTGGAATGGAAGGCTGAGTCTAATTAAAAGAATGGTGGAGGAGAAAACAGATGAAGGAGCAGTTTGGGAATAGAAGTCCTTGCCACCGAAAGTGGCAAAGACTGGCTAGTTGTTTACCAAACTATTCTCTTTCCCCCGCCCCCCCCCGCCCATGCATGTAACTAGAATACATTTCCAGCCTCCTTTACAGTTCAGTGAGGCTTGTGACTCAGTAACAGCCAATGGAATATGGACAGAAATAACCTGGGAGTATGACACTCCCAGGCCTGGCCCATAAACGTCTGCCATGCAGAACTCGCTTTCCCTAGCCACTGACTGAGTAAATAGGACTGCGGAACTAAAGAAGCTACAAGGCAAAAGAAGCTTGGATCCCTGAATGACCATGTGGAAGGCAACCCACTGAATACCCACACAAACGAAAACCAAAATTCTCTTGCTTTAGATCCCTAAGATTTGGAGGCTCTTTGTTAAATCAGGTAGCTTTACTCTAACTAATATACTGCCTCACATCAGTGAAGTAGGCGGCTTCCTACTCCATCTGCAGTGTACACAATAAAATTCATGTGAACTCAGGGGAGGATGGAGAAACATTCCTCCATGTGCAGTCAAATTCATCCTCAGAAACACTCGGAGTTTGTGTACATTCCCTTCTACCTCCCGTTCACTCATCCTTCCTTGGACAACTACAGGTAAATGTTCTCATACATATGTGTTTGTACCCACTCACAGAAAGGGAACATTTGAGGAGAGACACAGATTCCCCATGGGAGACAGAACACAATTACGTAGTTTTCATTGCAGCTAGAGAAACTGAGGCCATAAATAAGAATTACAGAAATCATCTAAATAAACAATCAACAGATGAAGGTCAGAAAATCTGTACCTTGAAGATCTTGGATGAAAAGCCTACCTATCAAAGTTCTGCTGGATAAGTAGGTGTTATCATTAAAACTTGGAGACTAATACATTTAGTTCTCCCAGCAGAGGCTGGCAGACAACCCTCCAACACAGAAACTCTGCCCAACTCCAGGTCACCTTCATCAAGCCTAGATAGTATTGAGTTCATTACTCCTTGGTCATGTGACAGTGCCATGAGCCCAGTAATAGCTGGCAGAGGTGGTGGTGATGAGCAGGAAGAATATTCATGATAGAGATCCCCCAGGCAGTGTATTCTTTCTAGCTAGCCCCTAATTCACAGTCATCCTTATCATGGATTTCCACATGAAAAATAGATGCAAAAGGAAAAAACTATAAAAATGAATTCATTTTGAAATGTATAGAGATCTAAGTATTTTTAATTTTTTACTGAATGGACCAACTAAATTAGTGATTTATTATGAGAAAAACCCACTTCACCCTCAGTGGCAGGCACTAGGACTATACTGCCTTTATAACTTCTACAAGACT